CAGACTCGACACTCACTTACTTGACAAGTGTTACTAACAATAAAGACAGTTGAAGCTTTCAACATCACTCACAAAGGATCTTGAATGCTTTATATGTAATCAGACATATCTAACTTGACTCAAAACAATGGTGTTCTGTCTCACATCCAAATTTACTTTATAGAGAGGCTGGTTACAGGAAGTCAGAGAAAATGGACGGCACCTAAGCTAGAGAAAACGAATTTTTTCTAGGGATAACTCACCAAATATCCACATGTTTTGAGGGCGTGGAGCATAATATGAATCATCAGGTTTCAAACAGACCAGCCGAGCCAGTGTGACCATGACAGTACCAGTGAAATAGAGGGTACCACTGGGCCCGTTGTTGTTTGTTTCATAAATGACATGCTGGAAGCTGTACATTCCTCCATACAAATGTTTGCGGATGACGCCAAATTATTCAGGGAAATTAAGAACCAAGCAAACTGTGAAAAGCTACTGAAAGTTCTCTTTCAGCTTCAAGAGTGGTCGAAGAAATGGCTACTAAGATTAAATGTCACGAAGTGTAAGAGGATGCACCTAGGTTGTATCAACAGTAAGGAGGCGTATCACTTGTCCCAACGGGACGAAGGAACTGCATTAATATAGACAGAGTGTGAAAAGGACCTGGACGTGTATGTTTACAATGAACTTAATTTCTCAGTCTTTGTGAGAAGAAGGTGAATCAAGCAACTAAACTAGTAGGTCTTATAAGAAGGTCGTTCAGATATTTAGACGATCCACGCCGCGTAAGGCTCTTCAAGACTGGGGTGCTTCCCTGTCTGGAGTACTGTCACCACGTCTGGTCCACGAGATATATTAGAGACTGTCAGTCGATTTAAAATATCCAAATGACGGCCGCCAGCCTGGTGCCTACACTACGGTACCTCAGTTATCCAGAGAGATTAGAACGTCTGCAACTGCCTGGCTTATACTATAGACGGGCAAGGAGTGACCTAATTGACGAGTATAAACATCTCAGGTGGTACTACTGTAATGCCCACGGTCGTACATGTTAGTTAACATAGAATCAGACGATTCATATTACGCTCAATAGCCCATAGAACGTGTAGCTATGCCTTCTATATTGAGTCCCCCATCTTATTCGTCCGTTTTCTTATCCCTTCAGGAAGTCTGAGCCCTACGTTTTCTCTCAATTTCATTTATCTTCGAGACTGTTATTTCTTCAGAGCTCATACCATGTGCGTAGATTTGAAATTGAGAGAGAACCCCGTACTATTATATCGTATTAGATGTGTCTGATTACAGATGAAACATTCAAGATCCCTTGTGAGTGATGTTAAAAGCTTCAACTGTATTTATTGTTCGTAAAACTTGTCAAATAAGTGAGTGTTGAGTCTGCCACTAAGACTGACGAAGTACGAATTTCGCCCTTGAGGGATGCCTGAGTTTCTAATTACTACTGAAGTTAGATCTTTGTGATGCCCAAACGTCAGAGAATCTGATATTTGTGGTTTAATGATTGTAAGTTATCTAGTTTTAAAAGTCATTAATCTCCTAAAAAGAACATGTCAAGCTCCTGTACTGTCACCCCATCTGGTCCCCGAGATATGCTAGGGACTGTCAGTTGGTTGAAAATGTTCAAAGGAGGGCCACCAGACTGGTGCCTGCACTTCGGCACCTCAGCTACCCTGAGAGATTGGAGCGCCTGAACTTGCCTAGCTTATACTACAGACGGGCAAGGGGGGACCTAGTTGAGGTGTATAAGCATCTCAGGGGGCACTACTCAGTTGAGTGTCCTTACTTGGAGCTGGCGGACGCTCGCCCCACAAGGGGTCACAGCTCAAGATTGAAGAAGCCGCAAGTCCAGAAAACCGTGAGGGCAAACTTTTTCGGAGTGAGGGTTGTAAAGTCTTGGAACAATCTACCAGAGAGTGTTGTGACGGCACCGAGTGTGAGCTCTTTCAAGAGAAGACTTGACCATCACTGGAGCGGGTTCAGGTACACTCAGGAGCCGGTGCATGCCCAGTATTTGCCAACAGTGCGTGACAGAGACGTGACCGATCGCCCGGGCGGCTAGCGAGCCGATCTTTTGGTGAAGAATATAAATGAAAAGAGACGTGACCGATCGCCCAAGCGGCTAACAAGCCGATCAGTGGCGAAGAGGATAAAAGTAAAAGTAAAAGTATAAGCATCTCAGGGGGCACTACTCAGTTGAGTGTCCTTACTTGGAGCTGGCGGACGCTCGCCCCACACGGGGTCACAGCTCAAGACTGAAGAAGCCGCAAGCCCAGACAACCGTGAGGGCAAACTTTTTCGGAGTAAGGGTTGTAAACTCTTGGAACAATCTACCAGAGAGTGTTGTGACGGCACCGAGTGTGAGCTCTTTCAAGACAAGACTTGACCAACACTGGAGCGGGTTCAGGTACATTCAGGAGCCGGTGCATGCCCAGTATTTGCCAACAGTGCGTGACAGAGACTTGACCGATCGCCCGGGCGGCTAGTGAGCCGATCTTTCGGTGAAGAAGATAAATGAAAAGGAAAAGTAATCAGAGACGTGACCGATCGCCCAAGCGGCTAACAAGCCGATCAGTGGCGAAGAGGATAAAAGTAAAGTAAAAGTAAAAGTAAGATCTCACTGTATACCCATAAAGAGTCCTTGTCTAAAATTCCGCTGATGTTATATGAACGATATTACCAGTGCGTAATTTTTTATGTCCATTTCACTTTTTTCTGGCAAGCTCAATCTATGATTAGATTGTAACAATAGATGTAAGAAATTCACCTGGTCCATGACACTGAGTTTCATAATCAAATGTACAGCAACTGATTTATATGGAAATTTTGTCATTTGCGAGACCAGCCCTTCTGGCATGTCTGGTACAGACCCGAGTTGCCAGTTAGCCATATATAAACGCAAGTACGAGGAACCGTGTCACATCTCTGAAGCTGCTCCTCACATTTCTCATGTATGTTTCCGATGCCCACCATATTAAGTCAGTTTAATTCAGTTGATTTTTGCGAATATCAGTGTTGTGTTGTACCATAGTGAAATTCTCATGTGTAAAGTGAGAATTAATGTAACGTAAGAAATCGTCTGCGTCGGTGCCAGACGTATGATAGTTCTTATTCGGTTAGATTTTTTAACACATCTCTGACGCTGCTCCTCGCATTTCTCAGGCACAGAGTGGGTGTGTGCTGAATACCCAGCAGCTACCGGGGAACTGGTAGCTGCAACTCAGCTGGCTGTCTTGCAGGCTGTCTTTAATTCAGCCCGATTAAAACCAGGAGGTAGTGCGCCCTGGGAACTAACACCCTTGAGATGAATTCTGGCGTCCGTCAAACTGTAACCGACCCCAAGCAGCGCGCATCATTTGTGGATGTATAGTACCAGTGACTGATCCTGGTGTACTTCTCACAGTTATATGAGCCAAATTATTATTGTTATACATGATTGGGGATAATTAGCAGAAATATAGTTATCCCCTGTTGAGTAGTGAACCCATAAATATTGCTATTACCAGTGATAACGTTTGTTATGTGGGTTGTGAGCGCATCATTCATATGTACTACCAACTGAGTCCTACCCATTATTGTTGTACACGATTGGGGAGAATTAAAAGAAACCTAATTGTCCCAAGTTGAGAATTGTGGCCATAAACGTTGATATTACCAGTAATAACGTTTGTTATGTGGGTTAGAGTACATCATTCATATGTACCATCAACTGAGTTCTAATAAAAGTACAATGTTGTTCATTACGAAATAGCATATTATAAAGAATATGTTAGTTTGGGATATTGTCAAGAGTGTAAAATAATCATTTATATGGCCAAGGAAATAATATAACAGTTGTATAATGTTGTAACAAATAATTGAAGATCTATTTTGCTACTTAAAATAAGACCGAGTGGTTCATTTTTATCTAAGTGTGTTTAAATTAACATCTTGTCCACTCTTATGTTAATAAATATTTATTTAGTAAACTTAGAGTAGTGCCGCTCATCCCTTCTAACAATTGATTCTCAGAAAATACCCATTAGAACTCGCGTGCCTAAGCTCACTCTCACGCTACCTAAAAGTTCAATGAGGTATCTTATATTCTAATAAAAGTCTGGGTGGTGGCAGGCTACTGTTGTAAGTATAATAAGTGTTGTGGAAGAATGACATGGTTTCCCAGACTAATCCATGGTATAGAATATAACTAAGGCATAATAATAAAGTGAGGGAAAGAAATAATCAGAGATTAAATATAAGCAAAGAAAGAAAAGGAAAGGATACTGTACAACTAAGAAATATAAAGAAGGATATATAAGACAGAAATAATCTAAAAAAGATAAATAAAAAAATAAATAGAAACATATAGAGAAAATAAGATAGAAAATATGATTATATAAATATATATACATAGAAAATATAAACTTCTAAATCAATTTCTCTCTCATTCCTAGAGCTGGCAGAAGTCCACCCCACAAGAGGTCACAGCTCAAGGTTGAAGAAGTCACAAATCCAGAAACTGTAAGGGCATACTTTTTCGGAGTGAGAATTGTAAACTCTTGGAACAATTTGCCAGAGAGTTGTGACAGCATCAAGTGTGAGCTCTTTTAAGACCAGACTGGCGCAAGTACAGATACATTCAGGAGCCAGTACACACCCATTACTTTCCCAACAATGGGTAACAGAGACGTGACCGACCGCCCAATCTCGTAACGAGCCGATCAGTGACGAAGAGGATAAAAGTAAAATTCACCAGAAAAATATGTTTTCGTGTCAAAATGGAGTAGGCAGTAATACTGGAAAAATTACCCATATTTTGTTTGTATCAAAGGATTTAATTAAATAGGGTAATGAGAGCCGTTGTTTGTCGACGATCATGTATACCTGTTGTCAATATCTCGAGAGCAGGGAAGCGGTATAACCTCAGGTGCAAATACAAGAGTTGACCATGAACGCTGAGTAAGAGAGAAAATAAAGTATTTTCTGCGAAATGATGGGGATACTTACTTAATTTGACTACTTACTTAATTTGACTTCGCCGTTCATCCCCAATAAAATATTGTCCGACTTGATGTCTCGGTGGATGATATTCCTCTCGTGCAAGAACTCCAGCGCCTGGAGCACCTCCCTGGGAACCAAATGTCGAATGAGTAGATATGAAGTGGAATTATCAAAATATTTGTTTCGTTCTTAATGATAAATATAAACAACACATCCTGAACCTATCACAGTATTACTTATATTACTTGTGTATACAAGTGTCAACCTTCTATGTCAAGATCTTTATCTTTTTGTCTGACAATAGTCGGTGCTCAATAGTGAGGAGTTCTGTATATATATACGTACAACAATCTGCTCTGTTCAGTGCTTGTCAATTGTCTACTAAAATTTACCTCACACTTATTCTAAAGTGTGCATCGGGAAGCTGTTTACTTCAGCCAGGTCCACACGTGAGTGTTGGATAGCTCAAGTTACACCGTTGTGAGCGCTCTCTCAGACACACTTCTTCATGATGTATTCCATGAATCATCTTAAACTTTCCGACTTACATGCCGATGAACTTACACTTTTCATTTTACATAGCACGTCTACAGTATACTTCTTACTCCATATGTAAATACTCGTGTGCTCCAATTACACATTTATAAGACAGTGAATCTTCCAGAATACATATTATCTAAGAAAGAGTGTCTCACAGCTTACCTACACAAAGCCGCGACGTGTCCCTCTTCTAGGCAGGTTTCGGTGACCACGTCAGTGAGAGAACCGCCCTGCAGGTACTCCATTATGACCTGAGGACACATATTTTGCATTACCTTTCACTATATCTTACTGACCTTTTTGAGGACCTATATGAAATAATTAGTCTTTGAGGACCTATTAATGATCTATGAAGGTGTGTTGAGAATACTAGGGGGCGACAAGTGATTCCCCCTAGCCCGCCAAATCTGCCCTCTAATAGGTTCACGGGGTCGGAGAGTTAAATACAAATGTATACAAATAAAGGTTAGAAGCAGCTGTTACCTACAAACCAACACAAATATTGTGATTACAGCTGTGCAGAGAGTTGATGTTGTGGTTTGCTGCCACACAGCATATTTAGGAAATTGGAAAGTAACATTAGTAATTGTTATCTCCCGATCCGGGGCTCTCTCTCTCTCTCTCTCTCTCTCTCTCTCTCTCACACACACACACACACACACACACACATTTGTCTCCGCTCGCCCTAGAGGTAAACATACCCAAAGTTCGTTATGGATGAGGTAAGAGTTGATGTAGTTAACGATGTTGTAATGACTACTTCGTTTCATCACCATGATCTCGTTGATGATCAGCTCCGGGCGGGGTTGTTTGTCCAGCGACATCTGCTTCACCGCCACCAGCTCCCCCGTCTGTAGGTCCAACGCTGTGTACACCTCCCCCGACGCCCTGCACAAACATACTTTGATTACTAACGAGGGTGAAGCAACAACATCGAACTATTACACAAACACATATACACGTAAGCATGTTTTGTTTGCCTTATCTATTAACGGGAAAAACATCATCAGACCCCTTGATCACATACCGTACTGTAAATACACACGAGCATACTGTCCTCTCTAACTGATAGGATACTTAGAAGAAATTTTTTTAACAGACATATTGTTTATTAGGAGGAGAGGGAGACACAGTACTGTTATTTGTTATTTTTTTGTTATGGGTAATAAAGCCTAATACAACATTGTGAAGTAACAAGCCGAAGTGGAGGCAAATTAGCATGTTTTCTGCAAAAGATATCGTGTTTTTATCAGGACAAGTTAAGAAACTTATTCGAAACAGATTTTGCAGTGAGAACAGGAATCTGTGCCGGTAAAGTCGCTCAAAAGATTATCTAAAAAATATTGTTCATGACAATATGACACATCGGACGTATGTTTTGGGGAAATGGTAGAGGACCAGGGGTACGCCCTGCATACCACAATGGTTGTCATGTAATATATAAGACGTTTCCTGCCGTTTGTCATTAACGTGTTTCATATGAATATAATTAATATTGTTACGAACCCCTCCACCCCGCACTACGAACCACGCCATCTATTGTCCTGATCTACCTACCCAGCACCACGAGCAACGCCATCTAGGGACGAGACACGAGTATGACTCGTCTTAGTTACCACTCCGAGGTTTCCCTTCTCCATATCCTGGGTTGCGTCACCTCCTCAGTCTTCTTTGTCAGCTCCAATTCGAGGAGAGGGACTTGGCTCTGGGAAGTGACCACAGGATCATCTATCCTCTAAACCTACGTGCAGTGACTACCTACCGTCTTCTACAATACTCAGCCTTACTCGTCAGCCATCTCAGCTCCTCACTTAAGTACATGTATCTTGTATTACCTCCCCCACGTCCACTTGCTTCAAAATTGTTTATGTTGTATTAATATGTATATACTGTTAATGTTTAGGTTAAGTTTGGTTAAGGGTAATTTATAAGCTGAATATTTTGTTAAGGGATTTATGGTACTCTATTATATACAACGAAAACTCGCATCCTTTGTCTACCCTTTTATAGTCCGATTGTCTTTGTTTTTTTTATTGTTGTTACCTGTTGGGATCTGGGTAGACGTATAACTATATTCTAAATCCCCAACTCGTAACAAATGGCGACCGTGACAGGACCCGACCTTAAGTACCATATTCCTTCCTCCCTTGTTACTCAGTGTTAATTATTCCTCCCAGTCACTTCTGTTCACAATTGCTTTACGGTAGTTTAAAGTTTCCTTCATATGTGTGTGCATATATTGGTATTATCGTATAGTAAGAGTGACAGACGTAGGATATTAGGTTCCAAGTGTCATAAGGCTTACCTGTTATTACACGTGGCAGTTGTGTAGTAAGTCTTATCGAGTGTTGGGAAGAATCCGGATCTGTTTAATGCCGTACCCTCACTCCAGAGTAGGTTGTTCCATAGTCACTAGTTTACGGTGAAGTGATATCTTGGGACGCCACGCTCTACCAGGACCCCATAATTATAAAGCCTCAATTATTGTTCTTCTCATTATCTCATTCAGGGTCAATCATACCATTTATCAGGGTTGTTAATCCGGATCTTTATATTAATGCCGTAATACGCCCTACCTCTTTCAAGTATATCAGGGTTGTTAATCCGGATCTTTATATTTATGCCGTAATACGCCCTACCTCTTTCAAGTCTCTTATCCTTATCTAAGGATCTTCTCAGAAGAACAATCATAAGTGTAATTTCCCTAGGTATAACTTGGTTAGTTTTCGGGACTTTCTGGTTATCCACTGCCGTGATATTTTCTAGGGTTATCCACTTATCTTATCTTTGGACCATTAGTTAATTTATCCTATTTTTCTTAACAATGGCCACCTCAGGTTTTGATCTCCAGGATTTTATTGAAAATCCTTCCGTAGCTAAATTACGTGTTAATATCCTGAAGAAAGAATAGAAAGAAATAGCCAACTATTATAATATCCCATTTTCACAGCAACTGACTAAGGAAATGTTAAAAAATCATGTGATTGAAGTGCTGGTTCAACATGAAGTTTTAAAAGAATCCGCTGTTGACAGATTAACGCCCATGTCCAAGAAACATCAACCACTATCCACCACCCCTCCTCACTCAGAAGTTGCTTCAGGTCTGGCTAGCCCTCAAGAAAAAACACAACGAATAGACGCCTTAGAACTAGAACGAGCAAGGTTCGAGTTCCAAATCAAAATGAAAGAACTAGAGTTGGAACAGGCCAAGTTGGAGAAGGAGGCCAAGTTGGAGCAGGCCAAGTTGGAGCAGCAGGCCAAGTTGGAGCCTGAAGAAAGGTCGGAACAGGCCAAGTTGCAGCATGAAGAAAAGTTGGAACAGGCCAGGTCGGAACAGGCCAAGTTAGACAAAGTTGGAGCATGAATGTTGGAACAGGGCCAAGTTGGAGCATGAGGTGTGGTTTTAGACTGGAGGTTTGAAGAACTACGGGTAAGAGAGTAGAAGTCACCTTAACATGGGTTGATCAAAAGTGGTAAGAAAACTATTTCTTTTGACCCTGTTACTGCTTCTTCCTTGTTCCCGGGTTTTGATGAATCCGATATGGATCATTTAGGACTTTTAGAAAATAGCGGAGAATGATTGTTCAAAGGACCAGTGGGTGTCGGTGTTGGTTCTAGTTATGGTAAGGCTCGTGGTTGTAACTGTGTTTAGACTAGGACTGTGATATGATGCGTGAAAAGTCCTACCTCTTGTGTATCACGTGAATGGATACCGGCAGAGTTTCGTAAATAACCAAACCATTTTCACAATTTGGTTTGATAAGAAGCAGGTTTTTAAAAATTGGTTGAGGCACAGAACCTCCATTTCAGATTTGTTTAAATTTGTAGTCTCTGGAGGTGGAAGGCAAGATACCATTTCACTTGAAGGCATGTGGGCGTGGAAGTTGGCTGATGCGGTAGTCTTGGGCGGTAAAGTACTTGATCTCTCTGATAACCTTGGGACGTGAGTGTGTGGGTCAGGTCCACCTCTCCCCGGTTGGCAAAACTTGCTTACTGTAAAACCAGGCCATGGTCAGAATTGTAGCTTACCAAAATTGTCAGTTGCTAAGTATGGTTCCCTGGATGCAAGTCAACATGGCAAACACCAGTGTTGAAGGGCATCAGGATCTCTTATCTTATTTTACTATGGGAAGATTTCCAATCATGGAGGGGGTCTCGTTCTTTCCCTATTACGTATGCTATTGATGCGGGCTTG